CCAGAGATTCCATGGATTTGGGGAGCTGTATGTCAGGAAGCAGGACAAAGACAAAACATGTATTTTTTGATATCACACTGCCTTTTTTATAGCCCATATTGCCTTGCATAGAGAAAAAAAACATAATTGCACCCAGTAGACGTATTTTTTTTGTTGCTGAATTGACCTCCATAGAACAGTAACTAACAGATCATAGGGAAGCCTGCATCACTAACCTTCTCTCTCATTTTCCATGTTAACTTCAGTGGGTTGTTTGAATCACAGCAGTTTCAGATTTCATTATGTATGTTCTTTTCCAATTGTAGCACATGCAGGCATGTTACTGCTTATATTTAGAACAACATTTTATAACAAAATCTGGTTTTGTAGAGTTGTTATTATCATTTAAATTAGCTCAGTCTAATGTAGAAATTGTACCATGTGGGTGAGTGTTGCAATATTTTGCAAAATAGGCAAAAGCAATCTGTCCACTTTAAGATGATACAGTGGCTACCAAATTTTCAAATGTTTGGTCTGGTTGTCTTTATAAGTGAAAGTTAGAATAAGTGTGGGGAGGATAATTTTGTATATCTTAAGAGTTTAAAGTTTTGTTTATAAAAAACTGTTTTTCTGCTTCTCTGGCAACAAAAATAATTTTCTGTTGATTCTATTAGCTGCTTTGCATGAGGAGGACTTTTAAGACTAAAGAGCAAGGCAGGAATCCTGATTCAATCTGAGCATATTAGTGTATTGCTGACATCCCCCCATAATCACATGCTGAAGCCTCTTTTCTCCCTAATGTTAATTACCTATGAAAATTAGAAGTATTAATTTGCCTTCTATAGTATCAGGAAAGGGTAGATGTTGTTTTTTTCTATCAGTAAAACATGGAAAAAATTTAACTGTCTCTATATCCATTATAATTAGTCAATTTTAACTATCTAGAATCTCTCAAATTTTAGAATTAAAAAATGTATTAAAAATACTACTTATAAATCGGGTGTGTAATCTAAATAGACTTTTCAAATGTGAGGACTGGGGTTATTAAATTCGATGCACAGAGGTATTTTAAATACTATACTACTTTATCCTGTCATTTTTAATCATACTTTGCTATATAATGAAATATTAATAATAATAAAAGTTTCATAATGTCTACTATGTGTCAGGGACTGTTCTCAATATTTTATTCGTATTATTTTAGTTAAGCTCTAATAACACTGTTAGGTAGTTGCCATTATTATCCCCATTGAGACATAGACAGATACCATGGAGCTAGCAAGCTCTGCATTGAAACACCACCTCCACCTTTGGGCAAGTTATTTGAACATTTTGAGCCTTAGTTTATCTGTACAATGGCAGTAACATGTCATAGGATTAATGTGGTAAATGAATGATGAATATAGAGTTAGACACCTGGCTCATAATAAGGACTCAGCAAACTTAGCCAACTTTCCTATTTGGTGAACTGACTCAAGACTTAGCCCCTAATTTTTACTTAATATACTTTTTTATCCAGTATTCTCTGAGATCTTTGAAGGCATAAATTGCCTGAAACATGGTAAGTACTCAGTAAGTGCTGGGCACAAAAGTGAAAATACACAGAGCTCAAATACTGTAAATATATCAGTGGTGACCAGCAACAAACAAGATTATAAGTTGTTGCTTAGGTAATTAAATCATTGGCATTATCTGATTAATTTGTTGGTCTTTCTTTTGAGATATTTTCAACCAGAGGCTTATCTGCAAGAAATCAGACCCAGCTGACAAAAAAATATGTCTCCTGAGTTTGAAAATAGTGTTGGCAATTTCCAAGAGTTAGGTGAGGTTTTTTCTTCCATCATCTTTGTTGGCGGTGTTATAAACCATTTTTGCCAACCTCACCACTAATAATAGATTAAGACACCCAAGTCTTATAGTAGTGTTTATTTTTTATTCTTTTCTTTTCTTTTTTATTAAATCATAGCTGGGTACATTAACACAGTCATGGGGTACAATTGCTGGTTTTATATACAATTTGAAATATTTTCATCAAATTGGTTAACATAATCTTCGTGGCATTTTCTTAGTTATTGTATTAAGATACTTATATTCTATACCTAGTAAATCTCACAAGTACCCTTGTAAGATGCACTGTAGGTGTGATCCTACCAATTACCCTCCCTCCACCCATCCTCCCCTCTCCTTTCCCCTCTCCCTCCCCTTTCCCCTTCTTCTTGGGCTATCAGTTTCATTGTAGAGCTGAGTACATTGGATACTTTTTCTTCTATAATTGAGATACTTTGCTAAGAAGAATATTCTTGATGTCATGTTTATCTAAGTTTAATTCTTTTAAAAAATGATTGGTGAGGCAGCACCCATAGCTCAGTGGTTAGGGTGTCAGCCACATACACCCAGGCTGGTGAGTTCAAACCTGGCCAGGGCCTGCTAAACAACAGTAACAACTGCAATAAAAAGATAGCCAGACGTTGTGACAGATGCCTGTAGCCCCAACTACTTGAGAGGCTAAGACAAGAGAATTGCTTAAGCCTAAGAGTTTGAGGTTGCTGTGAGCTGGGATAGCACAGCACTCTACCAAGGGGAACACAGTGAGACTCTGTCTCAAAAAAAAAAAAAAAATTGGTGAGAACTTATAAATAACATGTATTTTTTTGTAATTAAAAATAAAGAATAAATTAATGTCTTCCTTCCTGATAGAGTTCCACATCTCCATTGCTTCAGCTAATAAAAAGCTAAGTTGTTGTTGATAATGCTGGTATTGTTGACTGTTCATGGTTCTGGTAGTGGTGATGATTATGATGGTAATGGTGGTGACAATGGTAGTGGTGAGGGATTGCTTCCCCCAAAGCCTACAATTATACTCTGGACTTCTAAATCCAAATTTAAAATTATTTTTTTTCCATCAAAAATTGGTTTGTATGTAGTAATTCAAGAGATATAGATTTGGCTTATGGGCAAGTGATGGCACTTCATTGATGGAGTTGAACTATGGTTCTTAAATTCCATGTTCTTGCCACATTAAAACTTCTTTATTAAAAGGAGGAATTTTTATAAGAAATAAAAAAATTAATGGTTGAAAAATTATACTGAGGTCTATCCCATCATTATTTAACCTGATTAAGTAAAGGCTAAGACATTTTGATGATCTATATTCAACTGTTATTTGGTGAAAATCCAATTTTCCTGTCTGTGTGTGTTTATAGTTTTTCTGAATATCTTATCATCAGCTGGAATAATCTTTCCAAGGAAGTGGTAAATTTCTCACCTTCTATGGGATGATGTCATTCCATCTTTGTGTTGCTCACAGATTTATTTTGTGACCTTGAGCAGCACCCTATATGCAGGCTTTATTTATTCAGTGGCTTCTGAGCTCTTTGCATCCTGGTTTGGATAACTGACATTTATTTTCACTTTGATATCTGAACTATAGAACCTACCAATGGGATTCTTGCTGGGAGAGATGCCAGGCCAATTCTGGCAAACTCCATCGAAAGGCACTAAGTTTTTATAAAAATGTTAAGAACTGCCTGAATCTTTGGAGCATCTCGTGTCAATCTGAACTAGACATGAGACACATTTTATTTCAGGAAGGTGAACTAAATTCATGTGGGTATTTAACAATACTAAATTTCCAAAAGAAAGAACAGTTCAGCTCCCTCCCCATTCCCTGAAGGTTATTTGTACCTCCCCGGCAGCATGTGTAGTTCTTCAGCATTTCAGAATTGATGGACTCCAGATGGAATCGCCATTTGAACTTACTGGCCACGGCCAGTCTGCCCTTGACCTTGTGCATTTCTTGGGTTCTGTGTTCACCAAGAATCCATGGAATAATGAAGCTATCAAAGTCCACAGGCCGGAAAAATTCTTCAAACATTAACTTCAAAGACTAGGTCATAATTTAAAAAACACAATGTAAACAGGAAAAAAAGGGGAGGGCAACTGTAAGCTGCTAGCAATTAGGCACTAATTAGGTTCCTTCAGTTGTAGAGTTGCTGCAGTCCAGCGGTACCATTTGTATCTCTTTGAAATGTATAGAGATACCTCAGGCTAATTTTTCTTAGTAAAACGAAGCCACAATTTGCTGAGCAACTTACAGTAAAGATTATATAACAGGCTAACTGAATTTCTCCATTTTATTTATTGTGAAAACTGAATTAAATGGAAAGCAGACAACATGTCTGGCTCATCAGTGTATCCTACAAGTTAGCACATATTCATTGTGCAAAAAAATAGATATCAATGAATGAATTCATTTATTTCTGTTAAAACTCATGGATTCTGTCTATTTCAAACACTTATTGAGTGGGTGATATTTACATAAAGAGAATTATTTAATATTTGATAATACTTTCCTTGACTATTAATTCCTGTTGTGTAGTAATATGAATATAAAACATGTAATTGATTAGACTTAATATATATCAACATCTCAGAATTTTCTCAGATAATTATTGTTATCTTTTGGACAATAAATTCTTAATTTAATGCTTAATTTTCAAGTCTATTCCCTGCCATATAAGTGGAATGTAAGAGAAAATTTGAATAATTTATATTTTTTTGTTAAGTTGAGGTTCCGTTGATCCATGGGCATAAGTCAAAAGATCAGTATAGGAGGCCCTTGAGAAGAAATAGCAGATACTACAATTACAGCCAAGTTACAATTTAGGATTGGCCTGCATTCCATCAACCATTTTAAGTGTCTTTTATACACACAGCCACTGCGTGATATACAAAGGACGTTAAATGCTCTAGAATATAATGGAAAATGGTATAATGTGAAGACATGCTCCTGACCTCAACAAAGTTATTTTCTAATAAATAAAAAAGAGAGAAATAAGTTTAACCAGAACAGACAGCAGGGTCAGGGCAAGTTGTGGCTCCAGAAAAAAGCAAAAGCCCTGTCTAAACACCTTGCCTGGGAGAAGATTTATATGGAGTTCCAGAAACGTAGATCAGTTGGCGGAACTTCTAACATCAACATAAATTGACATTCCTCTTTATACATTTTTTTTTACTTACAGAGCCTCCCACAGTCACTGTGATGCCCAAGAATCAGTCTTTCACAGGAGGGTCTGAGGTCTCCATCATGTGCTCTGCCACAGGTTACCCCAAACCAAAGCTCACCTGGACCATGAACGATATGTTTATTGTGGCTTCACACAGGTACTGGGTTTGTATCACGCTCCTTGCTTTTATTGAGTGAGAAAAATTGAAGAAATTTCTGGACCAAACTAATCTGATGAAATACTTAAGATTAAGGAGGGATTGAACAAAATCCACATCTTTAGATTTTTCTAAATGGTTTAGGAAATGTCAAATAAGTGATGAACTTATGGAGTTTAAGGTTAATAAATCTTGAACCCAATAGCTGGATGAAGAGTTTTTCAATATTCTAAGTTGCAAGCATAGCTTTGTAACACTTCAACTTCTGCCATTGAATTGGGGATAATAAACTTTCTGTGGGGTAAGAGAACATATAGTTTTAACAAATCTATTAAATAGAACATATAGTTTTAACAAATCTATTTAACATCTAATCTATAGTTATCTAATCTATAGTTTTAACAAATCTATTTATCCTGGATTTAATAGGAGGGGGACAGCCCAAAGACAGAACACTAGCCCTAATTAAAGGATATGCAGGCATTCTTTGCAACTGTTTCCACTTTTACCATACTACAGTAAGAGGTGTTTTATCCTACTGGATGCTTTTTAAAGACATTCAATCCTCACATGTTTGGAGAGTGTAATAAACATGTGGAATATAAACAACAACGTTTTCAACCATTAGTACTTCCATTACCCTGGGTTTGGCATGAGGAGGACGTCTTAGGCATGATGTAGCAAGCTGAGCCAGATTCCATTCCCAGGCTCATTGTTGATTCACTGTGACACAGGAAGCATTGTGTCTCTCAGGCCTTCATTTGGAGGGACCATTTAGCATAGCAGTTTTACCACACAGAGTAAGATTGGCTGGGTGCAAATTCCATTTCTTCCATTTATTAACACTGACTTTGGCAAGTTAGATAATCTCTTGCTTATCTGTAAAACAGGGATGCTAATAGCATCTAACTCATTGGGTTGTTAGGAAAATTAAAAATGTTAATAGACATAAAAGTAAAGTTCCTAGAGCAATGCCTGGTATGTAATCAGTACTGAATATGAGTATCCATCCATCCATCCATCCATCCATCCATCTATCCATCTATCTGTCCATCTATCCACCCATCCATCCATTTACCCACCTACCCATCCATCCATCCATTTATCTATCTATCTACCATTATTATTATTATTATTACATCTGTTTGTAACATAATGTTAATTATTTCTACAGTGAACACAAGAAATATAAGTTTAGATATTTGAAAATAGTTAAAGGGAGATACATAGTCTTATGGTATTTTCATTATTATTTTTTGCTTTTTGTTCATAGGTACAGGATGACCTCAGAAGGTACCTTATTTATCAAAAATGCAGTTCCCAAAGATGCGGGGGTATATGGTTGCCTGGCAAGTAATTCCGCTGGAATAGATAAACAGACCTCTATCCTCAGATACATTGGCAAGTATAGTTTAAAAAGCAATTAAAACAAGATGAATATCACATCAAGCAATGTAATAGTACCTTTCTGAAAATTAATGTTATTAAAATGAATAAGCTATACCTGTCTTGGAATTTATTATTCGTTTCACACATTGATTAAAAATACTATTGTAACTAACTTAAATTAAAAGTTCAGACAGTGAGAAGCTTCAACAGAAATCAAGGAAGCTTCCAGATTACAGAAGACTTCCAGATTGTCCATAGTGTTTTATCCTTCTAGTCCTTCCATGGTTCATCTGTTCTTTGTAATATCTCATTTTCAGATTAATAAATTCTATGCCCTTTCTAGCTTATCTCAACTTTTGTTGCATAATTTCTACTTTAAAACTGTATAATATTATTTTTAATTTTTAGCTTCAATTTTCCCCTCCAAATTTAAACATTTATTGAAAGTGTAACTCATGATAATTATTCTATAGAATGTTCCTTTTAATTAGGCCTTTCTTAGTCAAATAAAGGATAAAGGTGTCATATGCTTAGATCCAGGTTATGGACTGTGAGTGATTAATGATCTGCAGTTCATCTTGTACATATTCTTATTTGACTTCATTCATAGAAAAATAGTAAAACTATCAGTACAGACAAAGGGGTGAAAAGAGCCATCATAGAGATAGTTAGGTTAGGTAAAGGAGGAAACAAAAGTGTCCCAAATACTGAGCAAGTGGTTGAGCAAAATTTTACATTGCGTTGTGGTAATAAATTTTGACGTTCACAGATAGGTCAAAATACTGAACACAATTATTTAACTTATTAACATTTACAGGTATGCAGTATGAAAAGTGCTGTGCTAGAGACTATGTAAGGTAAAATTTAAAAAATATATGTCATGTAATATTTACTTTTCAAGAGCTTAAATAATGAGGATGGATACCTAAAGACCGACAAGTACCACGGTGGAAGGTTGACAGAAGAGAAGATTAATTCCGACTGGGGAATTTGCAAAGACTTGTCAAGGGAGACAGGATTTAAGGTTACTCTGGTAGAGAGTTGTGCCAAAGGGAATTTTAGGAAGAGGAAATAGCTTTAGCAAAGGCAAGAGGATAGGAGAGTATGGTATGTTGTGTTTTGGGCTACCAGTTAGAGCTCTGTAAGCTCTTTGTAGTAAGCGGGGAAGTTAATGGAGGATAAGGTTAAAAAGAAGGCTATGCCCACTTTTTAAGGCAATTGTTTGGTTTTTTTCTTTCTGATTTGCTTGATTTCTTTACAAATTCTGGATATTAGCCCTTTATTGGATATGTAAATTGTGAATTCTCATTCTGCATGTTGTTGTTTTGCTCTACTGACTGTGTATTTAGCTGGGCAGAAGCTTTTTAGTTTAATCAAATCTAATTTACTAATTTTTCTTGTTGCATGATTGCATTGGGTTCTTAATCATAAATTCTTTGCTGAGGCTGACATCTAGAAGAGTTTCTTCTACATTTTCTTGCAGAATTCTTATGGTTCCATGCCTTAGATTTAAAACTTTTATCCATCTGGAATTAACTTTTGTGAGTGGTGAGAGGTAGTGGTCCAGTTTCATTCTTCTGCTTGTGGTTATCCAATTTTCCCACCACCATTTATTGAATGTGGTTTCTTTTCCCCAGTGTACATTGCTTTTCACTTTGTAAAAGACCAGTCAATTATAGGTAGATGGTTTTATATCTGGCTTGTCTGTTCTGTTCCATTGGTCTATGTCTCTATTTCTGTGTCAATACCAGGATGTTTTGCTTACTGTGGCCTTGTAGTATAGTTTGAAGTCTGGTAATGTGATGTCTCCAAAAACATTTGTTCTTTTTGACAAACAATTATGTTAAAAAGTGGGAAAATGATAGCCAGGCATTGTGGCAGGCACCTGTAGTCCCAGTTACTTGGGAAGCTGAGGCAAGATAATCACTTAAGCTCAAGAATTGGAGGTTGCTGTGAACTGTGATGCCACAGTACTCTACTGAGGGTGACAGAGTGAGACTCTGTCTCAAAAAAAAAAAAAAAAGTGGGAAAAGGCATGTACAGAAGCTTCTCAAAAGAAGAAAGACAAATGGCCAATAAACAAATGAAAAAATGTCCAATGTCACTAATCATCAAGAAAATGCAAACTAAGACCACAAGGAGATATCATCACATTTCCCCAATTTGAGTGGTTTTTATTAAAAAATTCCAGAAACAATAAATGCTGGTATAGATGCAGAGAAAAAGGAATGTTTACATATTGTTGGTGGAACTGAAAATTAGTACAACCTCTATGGAATCAGTATGGAGATTCTCCAAAGAACCAAAGGTAAACCTATCATTTGACCCAACAATCCTCAAAGGAGGACTTTTCATAAAAAAGATACATGTACTCAAATGTTCATGATAGCAGAATTCACAATTGCAGATATGTGGAATTGACCCAAGTACCCATCAATTCATGAATGGATTACTGAAATGTTCTATGAGTATACCATGGAGTACTATTCAACAATAAAAAGATGAATTAAACCTTTTGCAACAATCTGGATGGAACTGGAGACCATTCTCCTAAGTGAAATAGCTCAAGAATGGAAAAAAAATACCATATGTACTCACTATTAAACTGGAACTAATCAATGAGTACACCTATGCACAGAGGGAAGTAAAACTCAGAGGAAGTCAATCAGGGGAAGGGAGAGAAGGTGAGGGACACAAACCTTCCTAATGAGTATAATATCACTATTTGGGTGATGGGCACATCTATAGCTGGGAATCAAGCATTAGAAAAGCAACCACTTAACCTAAAACATTTTTACCACCCTTACTTAATATAGTAGAACCTCCATAGTCAACCACTTCCCTACATTGATCACCTTATTAAGTTGACCTAATTTTCAGAGATTGGACATGCACCACATATACTCAATGAAAGACTACATATGTTGACCTATATATAGACCACCTCCATAAGTTGTATCTTGACCACTAGGATCGTAACACATGATATTAATTTACTCTTGACCAGTTGAGTCTACTCTACACCAAGGAGTAGAAAGTATGGGCTTTGCCCCTTAGTTGAATAATTTTTCTTTAGTATAAGTTGTTTTTTAATGCTTTATTATTTTAATGTTTTATTATTAAGGCATATTGGATTAAGCCTTATGTCCCATTGCTTATCACATGTTGTGGAAGATTTTTCTGATGATAAGGACTGGTTTGAATTGTAGGTACAGTCTACAATTACAGATAATTTTTACAGTTAATGAAGACATAATGGCCCAAATGAAAAACTCAAAGAGCTGACCTTGAAGGAAAGGGTTTATCTTCTACATTTTTCAGAAAGCAGCAGCCAAAGAAAGACAGTAGAACATTTTGGTGTTAGCAAAGCCACATCTCCATTACTTGGAGAGATATGGTAAGGAAAGGAGAGACTTACAGTGGAGAGGAAGGAAAACTTCCCTCAGGGAAGTCAAGGAAACCACATTAAGCTGGTTGAAACAAATGAGGACAGTTAATGCCCAAATCTCCAGCCCTATGATCAAAGAAGTTACTTAGCTCTAGCACATTGGCTCAAGAAATTTAAACTGCAATGTGAGATCTCTCAGAAATCTCATGTGGGGAATCAAATGGTGTTCCAGTAGAAGTTGTGGAAGAGTTCATCAAAAAGTTCCTAGACTTTGCCAGAGGCTTCAAAGATGACAACATCTTCAACGCTGATGAGCGTGGGCTCTTTTTCAAGGTGATGCCTGACAGTAACCTCATCATGAAGGGTGACAAATGTAAAGGCAGAAAACTCTGCCTTGTGCTAGCTCAGTCAGAGATAAACTGAGGCCCTGGTTGAGTTTGCAGAAAAGTTTCAGCACAAAGTTTGAGCCAGCACATTTTGGCAAAGCCACATGCATATGAGAACCTAAAGCCTGAATACCACCCGTTAACTTGGAGATCAAACAGATGCAGCTGAATGCCCTGTTTGAGGAGTGGGTAAGTGGTGTGGACTGACAAATGAAGAACAGTCTATTCTACTGACAGTAGACAACTGTCCTGGTCACCTGCAGATAAATCTTATCATGAAGGTGACACTGAAATTTCTGCCTCCAAACATGACCTCAGAAATCCAACCTCTTGACCAAGCCATCATCAAAACATTTAAAAGGTACTGCTGAGCCCAACGCCTGCAGTGAGTCAGTACTAAAACACAAACCTGAGGTCTGCCTGTTGAAGCAACTTTATCCATTGTCTTAATGCTCTGGATGTTGTCATCTAGATCAATTCTGTTTGGAATAAAGTTCAGCCAGAAATGATACAGAAGTGTTTCAAGAAATTTGGTTTTGTCACAACCCAAGAGCACAATATTTTGTCCCCGTCAGATAGTACATCTCTGATGGCAAATTCAAAGGAGTAGATTTTGAAGGTTTTTTGCAATGGATGATGAGATGGCAACCTGTTAGGAACTTGACCCAGAAACAGTTTACCATGAGATCTTGACCAAAGGACAGACTAGTCTGAACGTCTATGAAGCAGCTGATGACGTGGACAAAGCAAGTGAGGATGACATGGAAATTGCAGAGACTCCAGAAGAGGATGTCAGGCATCTCATAATGCAGTTCACGTCACTTGCTGTGGGAAAAAATCCCCAGGTATGCTGAGCGCTGCAGGCAGAGCTAAGAGTGCTTTCTCCACTTCCACTTGTAATAAGAATAAGAAACAGACCAAGACTGACTCTTTTTTTAGAAAAATATTATTAAATCCTGAAAAAACAGTAAGTGTATTGATTTTGTATGAGGCCACATGTATGATTTTACTGTGTTTTGATTGTGTAAGATGTCATATGACATTTTAAAATAAAAACTGTACAAGAAAGTAAAGTACATGTACCTATCAGTACAGCAAGCTTAGTTCCTTATGTTGACCACCCTTGTATGTTGACCAGTTTGTTACAGTTCCCTGGTGGTGAACTTAGAGCTGTTCAACTGTATTTTGAAATTAAAAATAAGACTATGCACCACTTTATGATGTTTGAAAGACAAACTAGGGAATTTTGAAAGCAATGTGAAATACTTAAGATTTTTCTAGCAGAGGAGTAATATGATCTCTGAGAAGACCTTTGCTTATTTAAAGCTATCGCATTTGAAATACGGAAGTCCTAAAATATCCAGTTAAGAGAAAATATATGAGAGAATTGAGCTATTTAGCTAGAAGGTGAAACAACGACAGTAAGAAACTGTGTATGGATGTTTAGCTTATGCAAGGGAAAAAAAGAGTCAAAACCAAGAGACTCTACTTTCAGTAAAGAGACAAACGTTTGCCTGGAACTATAAATATCTCTCCATAGTTAGACATGAATATCCTTAAAGTCATGCAGAAAATGTTATTAACCAATTTATCTGCAATTGTGTTAATCTCAAATCTTAATTAACCAGCATTCCTCTTTTGACTGCATTTTTGCTATAATTATCCTCCTCTCTATTCCTTTAATATGATTTCTGTAAGACGTATTCAGCTATCTAAGCTTTTTCGTTTCTTACATACATCTTCATACAGACCTTACAATTAATTTCCTAAATATTTTGGACTTGGTTTTATCATAATTACTTTTGGTTTTGGTCCTTATTTTTGCCTGATTTTTTCTTTTTTTGGCCTAACTAGGTGATGTTTTCATCACACTTCTCTGTGTGTATAGGCATTATAACAGTGTCTTTCTGTTTATAAACATTGAAATAGCCACAAGCACATAAATCCTGATAGATCTTTTTCTTGGTTCATTTAGTAAATGTAAACAAGGTCCGTGTGGTTTTATGCTAGATGTTAACTATTTGCATGTTTGCTTTTTTCAGAAGCCCCCAAGTTGATTGTAGTTCAGAGTGAGCTTTTGGTTGCCCTTGGGGACACGACAGTTATGGAATGCAAAACCTCTGGTGTTCCTCCACCTCAGGTTAAATGGTTCAAAGGTATGTTTCTTAAGTATATTTGTATCTGATCCACTTAGGGTTTTTTTTTTTTTTAATGATTTGTTAAAAATTTGTTTTGGTGTGTGACTTAGCAGCCTCATAAAATATGTTTATGCTCTCAGTGGAGACGATAGTTCAAATTCTGAACTCTGAATTTCGGGATTTGACATCTGGTATGGATTACAGGGCTGTGAAAATCAAAGCAGGAAAAGTTCGCCTTGCTAATCCAGCTGAACATTCTCTTTGTTAGTTTAGGATTGTTTCCTGTAGAGAATTGTCCAAGAATACTTGGTTAACGTTTAAAATAGCTTCACTGATTTTAGTTCGCTTTTCTTAGAGGTGATGGCTCTCACTATTGTGAAGTTATCTAGATTTTCAAGGATGCTTTCTATAAAGTGCTCAAATAAAGACACATAGGGAAGCTTACAGGTAATTGAAATACAAATGTATTTGTTGGCCAGCTATTTCATGCATGGTAAATGCTAGTATTAAGTATAGAAATTATCTTTCTGTATTTGTAACCAAAATTACACCTCTGTGATTCTTTAATAAAATAGCAGCGATGATTCTCACTTGACCTTGGTGAGAATACACTTGGCTCCTGCTCCAGGCTCAGATGCTAACCGGAGATATCTGTGTAAAAATCCCTGCTTCTGCTTCTGTTTCAGTTCTTCTAATTTATGAGAAAAATTTTTTGAAAAATCCTGCAAACACCCTAGCTGGGAGGTTGCTAGGATTATTGAAATGCTGTTTGCAAAATACTTTTTAATCTTCAAATGAAAAATGCTAAATATTACAAAGCCCTATTGTTATGATTCTGTTTATTAAATCACAGATGTTTCCATAGCAACAGGTTGATGTCATAATCACAAAATTATGAATTCACCTCGAGTTCAAACTCTTGGGGAACATGAGGTGAAAGGAAAGGCTTTATGTAGAAAACAAATATTTTGAAATAATACAAATCAAAAGCAAGGAGGGAAACTAGGAAATAGTGCCATTTTCATGGTTTTCCACATTAAAAGATTTGTAGTCTTCATGTTTTCACTGATAAGAAAACATTTCTGGATTTGCTCTTTAATCATGCTTATATCATTAATATAAACCCATGTTATTTACTTAAAGTACTTAACTGTCTGAATTGCCAATGAAATGTCGTTTTCAGACTTATATTATAATGAAATAGATCCAGAAAATGTATTATAGAGATGGGTTTTTTTTTAATTTTAAATGTCATTTAGTAGTTTATGATGAAAATAAACAATAAAAAAATAATGGAATATACTAATTTCTCTGCCTATATATAGCAGAGTCACACGGAAAGTATTTTATTCTCCCACACTGAAGCTACTCTTTTGAATAAGTTAGTCTTCAGGCCAGTTTTGACCCAACAGATAATTTGGAAACTAAAAGAAAAGGTATAGAGCCATGCAGCCACCATATGGAAGATTCTAGAAAGTCACTACTATGAGTTTCTCCTCTCAACCATGGGTATTACAGTTCAGTGGGTCCAATAAATAACATGCCATTTTTCTGTCCAGATTATGAACCAACAGAGATAGAACATGAGCATTAGATATTGACTGACCTTAATGTAAGACATGTTCCTGAGATGCATCAACAATTAGCAGAGCTGCCCTGGACCCCAGGATCAGGCCAACTTATCCTTCCAAGTTACTGCGTAAATGGAGTCAAGACCACCACGAGTGAAGATTAGCCTTAGGGTTAGAGAGGATCAACTCCTCTGTGTGCAGACTGGCTCCAGAATGGAAGGTGTTATGGGGAAGTGGGCCTTCCTGTCCCATCCACTGAGGACAAGATACCAGGAAGGTTAGGAAAATCCTACCTTATGGGAACCATAAGGATGGAAAGAAAGAGTTCCTGCCTTCAAAGAATAGTAACTTTTTCTTTGTATCTTTCTTCTGGCAATTCTGATTGAAGAAAATAGGTGTTTCAAAAAAAAAAA